AATGTACTGATGTATTACAGGAAACATGAGTAGGATTTTGCTTTCATAAATTATACTTAATAAAATATTTATGTCTCATAAATCACTTTTATGTTTGATTATTTACCATGGTCCAACTTTACTTCATTTTTTTGCTCTCTCTTCCATCTCTTCTTTTTATTCATTCTTGAAAAAATTCACTCATTTATTCCATAAGCATTTGTAGAGTGTCTAATATTGTCAAGCATGTTTTTATGGTATAGGAAAACAAAGAAGAATTACATACAATTCCTGACCTCAAGACATTTCGTGGCATTGGAGACAGACAATTACAAGTTTGAATGACTGAGGTAATGGAGTTGCGTACACAGTGCAACGGGAACAGAGCAGAAAGGATGTCTTCACGGAGGTGCCCCCAAAGCAGACCCTAAGATAAAAATTTACATGTAAGTGGTGTTTTGGTGAGCAAAGGAAACGCCACTAGAGTGGTCGAGGAAGATGAGAAAGGGAAACTGGACAATGAAGCCAACTATCACTGCCCATGACTGGATTTAACCCATTGGGGGAATTTGGGGAGCTGGTATAAAACACGCGCCCCACAGCTAGTTTCCACCAAGGGGCAGGGAGTTAGAATATTTCTCTCTCAACCTCCGTAAGTCACAGGTGGAGGTTGCTTCTGGGGGTATTCATTCGGGTCGGTTTAGGCTTGCTCCGCAAGCAGACAACACGAGTCCTGGGCAGAGAAATGCAGATACTGGCAACTGGAAAGAGGCCTAAATGCCCTGAATTGGTGAGGGGTAGGTACGGACCAGGCATCCATAGCCGCTGCTACAAGAGGTACCTGAGCCAGTCTGAGAAGCTCAGGGGAAGCTACACTGAGGACGTGAATCTTGAGTCTACTCTTGATGGCAGAAGCTTTCCACGAGGTGGATATGGAAGAATCATGAATGTCTTTTCCAGGAAGAGAGAACAACAAGTGCAAAGCCAGAGAGGCAATAGAGATCATGGAATATTTGCAAAACAAAAAGTTGTTTAATGCTCCTCTGAAGGGTAGCACCAAGAAATGAAACTGGACCGTTAGGTTGGACCAGATAAAGAAGGGCTCTGTGTGCTGTGCCCGGTCCAGTTCTTCCCTCACGGAATTAGGAAACCACTGAAGACTTTTGAGTAGAGGAATGGCATGTTTATATTTATATTTTTTAAAAGATCCCTTTGGCTGGAGTACTGGGAATTGATTAAAGGAGGCGGAATGAAGGCAGGGATATTTTGAAAAGGGCTCTAGCAAGACAAGATGAGGGTGGCAGTGATAATGGAGGAGAAAGTGCAAATTTGAGACAGTTCATATGATGAAGTGATAGGACCTTGTGGCTGTCTTGCTAAAGGAGATGAGGTGGGGGTCAAGGAGGGACTGAGGGTGACTCTAAGACTCTGGGATGGATGACTATCGGTGCTGTGTCCTTAACCACAAGAGGCCACACAAGAGAGGGTCCAGGGAAGGTGGGAAAAGCAGAACCTTGAGTGTGGAGGGCAAGTATATAAAAGAGGACGGGCTGAGAATGAGCTACGTCAGGGATGCCGGAAGATCATTCAGGAGGGCAAGTTTTGTAGGTGAAAGGATTCCCAGCTCTGGTGTTTGGAAATGCCACTAAACGGTCTCATGTATTCTTGCTTCCCACCAGGAAATCTAATTCAACATTTCCAGATTTTGCAGCTGGGATAACTCCTGAAAGTAGGAGAAAAAGAGATAGAACCAAAAACAGCACATATTGGTTCATCATCTAGAAATCCAGATCTCTAATAAATGATGCTTTGGGAGCTGAGGTATCTTGGCAGCATCATTTCAAGTCAATTTTCTCCACAGTTTGCCTGGAATCATTGTCTCTCTCTTAAAGAAATACAGTAGTGCTAAAAATGGCTTCCCTAAAAGATGATTTTAAAAAAGAAAGCCCTCTACACTCTCAGTCTAAAAGGAGTCGAGACATCTAGGATGAAAAATTCAGAGCATACATTATTTATTCTTCCTCTTAACTACCATATAAAAATGTGCTAAGATATGGATCCCTGCAGCCACACATTCCTAATCACTTCAGATTTGAAATGGCCTCAGACCATACCCAACTGTCCTGACCAAATAATGTATTTTTCAGGTGTGCCATGATGTGAAAAATGTTGGGAAGCATTTTTGTAACGTATAGTAAAAGTCAACATTCATTGATTAACAAACATTTATTAAAGTCCTACTCTCTTACAAGTATGTGGTATTGGGGTCATTTTTATAGAGTGTCCTAACAAAAGAAAATCTTAAATTCATAATAGTCAACCAAATGTCTTTTTTTTATTTCTGCATATTATGGGGGTACAAATGTTTAGGTCACATTGTCCTTACCCGCCCCCCGCAGTCAGAGCTTCAAGCGTGTCCATCCCCCAGACAATGCGCATCGCACTCATTATGTTTATATATACTCATCCCCTCCTCTTCCCTCCCACCTGCCCGACACCCGATAAGTGTTATTCTTATATGTGCACTTAGGTGTTGATCAGTGAAACCAATTTGATGGTGAGTACATGTGGTGCTTATTTTTCCATTCTTGGGATACTTCACTTAGTAGAATGGGTTCCAGCTCTATCCAGGAGAATACAAGAGGTGCTATATCAGTATTGTTTCTTATAGCTGAATAGTACTCCATGGTATAATTTGGGAATAATAAAACACTTATTAAGGGATTATGTGTTGCTTTTTCATTTAAGTACCTTTTGAAAATCTTTTCATTTAAACACATTTTGCACATCATTTAAACACAAGTTGAGAAAAGACACAAAGGTCTTCAATATTTCATTTTTTCTATAATTTCTCAAATCATTCTTCAAACAAATTAAGGAATTAAGAAATTAGATAACCTCATATCTATTTATTCATTAACTCATCCATTGAGTAAATATGATTGAATTTTAGCTCTGAGACAGTACTAGTATAGCTGTTGGGTTCATGAACAAGAAAGCACATCTCCAGCTCTGAAAGGATGCTGTCGTCTCAGGGAGCACACGTGGAAACAACTGTGATGTTGCAGTGAGCTGTGCTCACAGGCACCGGGGCAAGGTGGTTCTGGAGCACGGAAGATGCTTGAGGGTTTCAGTCAGGCCCTGGGGAAGAACAGAAGCTTTATCTCGCTTCTTTCTTTGAAGTCCCAGGCTTGATAGTTTGCTTCTTTTTATTTACATTTTCAATTTTAGAACAAAGTTTATACTGTAAATGTTTCATGTGGCCAACATCATGCTAAGCATATTGTAGTGCGTGCACGCTGAATGCTTACCGCATGGTCTTCTCAGCCATCTTATCTGGAAACCGCCCAAGGGTCCCACCATTCACAGTCACAGAAGTGGACCCTTGGGAGTAATTCTCTAAAATGACCCTTCTCCCTCAGGACCAGGGAGAGTCCCCTGATCCAAACTCAGTTAGAACCTCTTTCCTCGAATTCTAGAACTGAGACTTAGAGGATGAGATTCATTTTCTCTGGGAACTGGACCTTTGTCTAATCAGGAGCCACTGGAAATCTTACTCTGCCATGTGGATTTAAGAACAGAGGAAACCAGTCCACACGGAGAGAAGAAACCATACATACATGGTGGAGGAGAAATAAAAATCAGAGAGAAAATTCCAATGACTTTGTATTTCTGGTTACAGACCCTTCCAGAAGTCTGCTAGCATTCATGTTGTTAAAGCTTATATGATTTTTTGGGAGCCTTATAAAAAAATTCTGTTTTCTGCTTAGGCTAATCAGCAATGGTTTCTGCAATTTAAAAAAATACTTAAATAATTGTAATGGGCATCTGTTGTTCGCTTCCTCAGAATTCTTGACTCCCACATGCCTGCTTTCCCTCTTTCTACCAGCATCTAGCTATTTCTTTTGGGAAACTTCTCGAACATTCTCAACATTTGGGGACTGACTTCAGCTTCAGGTCCATGGAAGGGCCCTCGTTGTCAATCGGCAAAGCCCCTTGCTCTTTGCTTACGGTGATTGGTTTAAGAGTGGATGCGGTAGGAAGGTGCTAACTAAGAGATCCTGAGAAAACACCTCCACTCTTCTCCGAAAGACTGACTGGGTGAGATGTTCCCATTTCTTAAAAATGTGGCATGAGAATGTGAGGTCTGGAACTGCTTCAGATTGTCCCATTGTGAAGAAATCCAGACAGGACACAGGGGGAGGGCAGAGCTGAGAGAACACAGGGAAGCAGATACTCGGTGGCCTTCTGGATCAAATCACGACCGAAGTCAACACCAGTTCTGTAAATATATTTTTTCCTTTATTTTTTATATTTATTTATTTTGGTTCGAGCCAAAATTTGATCAGATTCGCTGGTATTTCTAAACAAAAGCATCATAACAACAGTAATGCATTCAGAATATTTTCCCCAGGTCTTTTCTTTCTTTGGTAACATCTTGGGGCCTGAAAAACCTTCTGGTTTATAGACTCTGGATTTATAAATTCAATCACCTCTGGGCGTGAAATGCTGGTCTTCTAGCATCGCTCTTCCTTACGTATTACGTGAGACTCCCACTTGACAGGCCACAGTAACAGATGAGGAACAGAATGTGAGAGATGACGCAAGAGAATGAGATGTACTTTCTGATCAGGGACATCCTAATACAGAAGTATGTACTTAGGAATTTGAGTAATCTCAGAAGCTTTAGTTTCTAGGACACTATTTTTTTGTGAACACTTTTCAACTAATTTTAGGGTTTGATGAGGATTGGAAAACCCTTTGGCAAGGCATTTATAGGTAAATTTGCATCTCCTGAAGCAGGCCACCTGCTTATAGAGCCATTTGTTGCAGAAAGGGGTGATACAAATTTCTTATAACTTTAGTCTAAACTGTCCCTGTTAGAAGATAATCAGGTGTTCTATAATTGAGCTTGTCTGCTAGCAAAAATTCTCTGAAAAGTATAGTAATTAGGAGGAAAGAGACTATTTCAGTGAACAGTTTGTAACTGGGGAGTGCAGTCTTTGGTGTGTTCTTGCCAGGAACATTCACAAACTATACACCTCACGAGGACCAATACCCAGAATCTACAACTAGGCGGGGGTGGCCGGCACCGTGCTCTGAGAGAAAGCGGTATACCTGCGCAAGGCGCGGCTGCCACTGACGCAAACTCTGTAGCTAATGACGTATACAAGTGTAATTTCCCTCAGACACAGTTACTGGCCAAGCAGTTGAAGGCATAGCCCTGGAAGAGTTCGACAGATTACCTGGCAGCATGATTCTAATGAGCCCTCCGTGCCAGCCAGTCACAAGAGTCGGCCTGCAGGGCGATATCACCCGTCCAAGGACGAATAACTTCTTATATATTCTAGATATTCTCCCAAGATTACAGAAATTACCGAAGTATATTCCTTTAGAAAATGTTAGAGGTTCTGAAGTATCTTCTACAAGAGACCTGTAGATACAAATAATGGAAAATTGAGGCTTTCAGTATCAAGCGCTTCTATTAGCTCCAACCTCTCTTGGCATTCCAAATTCAAGGCTACGGTATTTCCTCACTGCAAAGCTTCAGTCAGAACCATCACCTTTTCACGTCCCTGGCCAGGTACCCACGGAGTTCCCCACCACCGAATACAAACACCCACAAAAATATGCAATAGATGCAGAAAATAAAATTGAAGAAAAAATTGAACCAAATATTTGCATTGATAGGAGCACACGATGTTCTGGAAAAGATGCCATTCTTTTTAAGCTTGAAATTGCGGAAGAAATTGAAAGGAAAAATCAACAAGACAGCGATCTCTCTGTGCAAACACTAAAAGATTTTCTTGAAGATTACATTGACATGCATGAGTAATTTTTACCTCCAAAGTCATTGCTGTGATATGCTCTTTTCATTGTTAAACCCACTTGCAGAAGGTCTGTGTGCTTTACCAAAGGTTATGGAAGCTACGTAGAAGGGACAGGATCTGTGTTGCAGACTGCAGAGCACATGCAGATTGAGAATATCTACAAATCTCTTATCAATTGGACACAAGAAGAAAAGATAACAAAGTTGTTAATGCTTAAACTGCGATATTTCACTCTTAAAGAAATAGCAAATCTTGGATTTCCTTCAGAGTTTGGATTTCCTGAGAAGACAACAGTGAAACAGCATCACCGCCTGCTTGGAAACAGTCTCGACGTGCATGTAGTAGCTAAACAAATCAAAATCCCATGTGAGTAATTTAAAAATAACACTGAAAGATGGTCTTGAAATTCTTTTGTTTCCAGACAGTAATTCTGAAATCGTACTTTGAACTAATTCTGATGAAATTCAACTAAATTATTTTAATCTGTCTTTATTGTGAAACTGGGGATTTATCACAAAGATGTCAATTTGTTTCCTCAAATTTATATTACTATATTTTATAAAATGCAAATTATTGGTATGCTTTATGGAGAATATATTTTCATATGAAGCTGGTAAATATATATGTGAAATATTATTTTTATAATATCATAGTATAAATAAATTAGGAACATTAGGATTTTAATGTCTACATGAATATTTTATAAAGTGTCTAATAGACATACCATAATGAACCTGAGAAATCATATATTTTTGTGTTTTAAAATTTTATGAATCTTAAAAAAAAGTGGGCAAATGAGATGAACAAACATTTTTCAAAAGAAGATATTCAAATGGCCAAAAAAACATGTGAAAAAATGCTCATCACTAATCATTAAAGAAATACAAATTAAAATCACAATGAGATGCCACCTTACCTCAGTCAGAATAGCCATTATTAAAAATTTTAAAAACAGTCAATGTTGGCATGGATGCCATGAAAAGGGAACACTTATACACTGTTGGTGGGAAGGTAAATTAGTACAACCTCTATGGAAAACAGTATGGAGATTTCTCAAAGAATTAAAAGTAGACTTACATTAATTCCAGCTATCTCACTACTGGGTATCTACCCAAAGGAAAATAAGTCATTATACATGCTTATCACAGCATAATTCACAATTGCAAAGGTAAGGAATCAACCTAAGTGCCCACCAACCAATGAGTAGATATAGAAAATGTTATACACACACACCATAGAATACTACTCAGCCATAAAAAAGAATGAAATTATGTCATTTGCAGCAACTTGGATGGATGGCCATTATCCTAAGAGAACTAATTCAGGAGTGGAAAACCAAATACCACACGAGTGGGAGCTAAGCTATGGGTACGCAGGGGCATACAGAATGCCATAATGGGCATTGGAGACTCAAAAGGGGGGAAAACATAAGGGGGATGAGGAATGAAAAAATGATCCATCAGGCACAATGCACACTATTCAGGTGATGGGTACAGAAAAAGCCCAGACTTCACCACTATACAATTCATCCATGTAAGCAAAAACCACTTGTACCCCTAAATCTATTGAAATTTAAAAACAAAAACCAGAAAAACAGAGGTATGTTTCATAGCAAAAGTTTCCATCCAGGTTTCCAATCAGGTCTGTGTATGCAAATCAAGGATTGAAACTCGCTTAGTTTGGACTCGTCAGCACAGCTGAGTTCTGCTTGCTCAACAGAGCTGAGCCCCGATTGGTTGATACAGCTGAGTCCTGACTGGCCCAGGCAGGTGGGCTCTGGTCAGTTGGCTCGGGTGAGCTCTCAAGTCCCAAAGCAGAATGGAGGTGTGGGTTTTCTGGGACTTCAGTACACGTGTGACTTACAGTCAGCAAAGGGCTGCTTGGCTCTATTTTAAATTTAGCTCCAGTTAGCCACTGGGGATCCACCTTGAAGGATTCACTGTTTCAGGTCCACATTTGTTCACATCTTCCTACCCAGTACGTTGCTTCTGAGGAGATACAGGGTGAATTATGTGTTTCTTTGCTGGCACTAAGCATTGGACTTTCATGTCTTTGCTGGAGTAGCCAGATTTCTTAAGTTTTTTGTAAATATAGACAAAGTTGAAATTCATTTCCCTTTCTTTCTTTTCTTTCTTCTCCTCATCCTTTCCTTCTTCCTTCCTTTCTCATTCTAACAAACTGAGAAAATATTTTCACTGGAAACATCAATCTGTCTTTCAACTTCTGATGATAAAACCAACGAATTGACTGCAAACCCACCCAACCAGATCTTTATTCATGCTTAATTCAAGTTACCAGGTAACTGTGGATAAAACAACAAACCCAAATTATTTGCTTACCAACGTCTCTTTTTCACGTTTTGGAGATCTGGCCTTTTATGAAAAAGCTAATTTTAGTTTTCCAAGCTACATGATCACAAGTGTTAGCTGTCTTTTCCCTCCTTGGAAGATGATTAAATTTGGACAAAGGTATTTTATGTATTTTTTAGACTGTTTCTTTGTCGCAGTATCCTTCTGGTGTTTCGGAAGCTCAACTACTTGACAAGACATGTTCTTAGTATTACCACTTAAAAGAGCAGGTTTGAGAAACATTTTCTCAGATAGTGACATTTAGAAGTCGTACTCTAGACAATAACTTCCTAGAATGCTATGATCTACAAGACTCATGCCTGAAATGTCAAGTTTAGAAAGGAATCCTAGGATGCAATGTTCTTTCTTGTAATACATGAAATGAGAGCTGAATGCAGCTGTCAAAGACATGGAAACAGGACTACTACACAGAGGAGTTTAGGGGCTAGCCCAAGGTCACACAGGGGGTAAGTGATAGAGCAGGAATTCAAGCTCAGGTCCTTCTTCCCGCATAGTCTGGTCTTAGCCACAAGAATAATAATTGCAAAGATTCACTGAGCACTTCCTATGAGTGGGGCACAGCCTGACATGCAGTTACTTGACAGTCTTTTACTTTCCAGTGAGATTCTCGAGAATGGGAATTGTATTTTTTATTTCTGTGTGTGTTGTGCCTGTAAAGAGTGATATCTCAGTAGTTGTTAGTTTAAATGGACTCTTAACAGGCCTAAAATAAATGGGATTTCAACAGAAGCGAGGTTAAGCGTGGGAGCTTGGGTGGTGGGGAGAGGGCCTGCTCTTGTAAAGAGAAGTGGAGATTTTTAAAAAAAATAACTGCCATGAACTGATACTGAGTCTGCTCCATGTCCAGAGGCTCAGACTTCACAGGTTATGGCAGAAGTTGGATGCTTTCCTCCCTTTCTTCCATAATAAATCCCTCGATTTTTATCTGGGCACACCTGAAGAATGCTGTGTGTGACTTCCAGAAATGTTCTTAAAAAGTGGGAACATGTTTTTCTTCTCCGCTTCTGTCCCCCTGCATGAACTGGGGACTGAATGGCTGGAGCTCTGGGGACTATTGTGTGCCATGAGGGAATTCTGAGGATGAGGCAACAGGTGGAAGGAGGCTGGGTCTCCGTTACTACAAAGGGCCATGCCTGTCCTGGAATGCATAACTTTGGATCCTTAAATGTAAGAGTGAAGGAAACTTCTATCTTGTTCAAGCCACTGACATTATTTATTTATTTTATTTTAGGCTCATAGCTGAAATAAATCTGAAGTAATAAAAATGTGTATCATTTGATTTGATCCTGATGATAACCCTCTGAAATAAGTATTAATACTGTGATTATCTCCATTGGTGGGGAAAGACAAGGAGGCCTGGAGGACCTAAGTAACTTTCTCAGGGTCACATAGCTACTGAGTGGTAAAGTTAGGGTTCTAACACCCCCCGCCTTGGGCACTATAACATATTTATGATACATAAGATGAACCAGACAGAAGAAACCTTACTGGTCTTATTTCCTTAGTTAGGGTACCTTTCTAATAAAACTAAATGATGGGTCTGATACTTACAGTTGCCCAGTTAGTCAATATGAATGTTTTGGTGGAAGGCCCCGGCCATAATCAGATATGTAGTAAAGAATGCATGATATTTTGGCTAGGATGCTTTTGACTTCAAGTTATTGAACATTCATCGTACCTAGTGGGTGCAGTGCGCACCGTCTGGGGGATGGACACGCTTGAAGCTCTGACTCGGGTGGGGCAAAGGCAATATACATAACCTAAACATTTGTACCCCTGTAATATGCTGAAATAAAACAAAAACAAAGAAAATTCAATTCAAACTGGCTCAAACAATTGGGACATTTGTTAGCTCATATTAAAGGAGATTCAGATACAGGGTGGTCTTCAGGGTTGTTTGATTCAGTGGTTAAATGATACTATCAGCAATACAGGTTGTTTTCACCTCCACTCTGTGGCCCATAGCCCGTGTCATCCAAAAGTCGGTTCTTACGTTAACAAGGAGGCTGCTTGTAGCAAGTGGTATTACACACTTTCACATCCAGCAGAAAGAGAAAGGACATTTCCTTTTATTTCTTTTAAAATCGGGATAGATTTAAACTAAAAAAAATTTCCAAGACTTTTTTTCCCTTTCTTTTATCTTCTGAAAAGCATTCTTAAGCAGAAAAATTTCCAAGACATTAATTGAAAGGTTGATACATTCATGAGGATTACTAACCCAACCTCAAGCAGAACAAAAATTAAATATGTGCAACTGAACTAATTTTTTTTGACTTTTTATTTGAAGCGTTGCTGATTCATTTTGTTTTGTTTTCCAAAATTTAAGAGAAATTTATCTCTTTTGAGCTATTTGTATTTATGAATTTATAAAGTATACTTTTTAAGCAAAATTTGAAGCATTTGTTTTTCCCTCTACTTGATTTCTCCAGAATTTGGAAACTATTTGGGAGTATTCTTATTTTATGGCAATAGAGTTATTTGCATAAGTTCAATAAGAATTTTTTTTTTTTTTTTTATAGCAGGACACAGTTGGAGACACTGGTTATTTTACCAAGGCGTTAACTGGAATGACGTATTTGCAGATATACCCAGACTGCTTTGAGGAATTGAGCTTGACTTTATAGGGCCAATAAGAAGCCCTTTGGAAAACTGACCGGGTTTCCTATCTGTAACATTCCCTGATCGGTGGCGAGTAAAGAATGCCACTTTCTGACAGGTCCAGGAAGCCAAGGTACTCTGGGGCCACAGGAAAAGAGGAATTTACCCAATTCCTGCGGGCGTCCACAGGCACAGTTAAACCCTCGGCGTGGCTTGAGAGGCTGTTGGGTTTCTGTCCGAAATGTCGGTTCCTGCTGTGCCCACGGCCAAAGAATGAGCAGACGCACCAAAGTAAGGCAAGCATGGAAATGAGGTTTATTGAGGAGGGAAAGATAGGATTACAGGGCAAGAGCAGGGTGCAGGTTTAGAGTGCGATACCCACACCGCAGACGATGACTGGACCCACT